ACTGTGTGTGTGGGGTGGGGGCATTCTCACATTTTTCTAATAGAAAAAAACAGCATGAGTACATAGTAAATTAAAAAAAATTCTCAGCTCATCCTCTACCTTTTAGGAGCTTCTTAGGTTTCCTCCCAGAAACTTGCTATGCCTGCAAGCTTGTGTGTGCATTTAAAAAAAACACACAAATAGGTGCATGTTCTGCTCTACCCTCTGCTTGGAAAGTTCCTTTTGTACTTAACAATAGATCTTGGCCACCTGTTCCCTCAGCACCTGTGAGTCTTCCTCATTCTTTCTACCCAGTGTTCTTGGGTTATTGAACCAGCTCCCTTCTGCAGGGCAGTTCAGTTGTTTCTGGTCCCTTGCTATGTATATTGGTTTCAAGTTCAGTTTGCAAGTGGCCAATCCTGTTTTCCTCATTTCCAGCTTCCTGAGGGACATCCGGCTGCGGCCTCAGAACGCAGCACACTCACTCTTTCCTGGCTAGAAACTAAAAGTCCATGCCCCCCTCTCCCTCTTGCTGTTGCCCTATTTTGCTCCCTTTCACGACCAGAACTCTTTATTTTTCTCAAATAAAAATAGTCTTTCTTTTCAGGTTATAAAAATGGAACCTATTCATTGGGAAACACTCAAACGATACCGGAAAAAGACAGAGAAAGTGAAACTCACCTGCTCTCCCGCCCCTCAGATGTCACTGTGTGGGCTAGTGTCCTTCACACACACACAGCCATGGGCAACCTTACGTAAGTGGCATCCTTCCACATGTGTGGGTTTATCCTCTGTCGGCCCCTGGACCCCTGCCCCCAGTGTGTGGAACACAAAGGTTGTTCTTGAAACAGCTGTCTACACTCCTAGACTCCATTCCCAGCCTTCACAACCAAAGACATCTACTCCAGCTCCTACATCTCAATGGAAACCACTCTGTGGTCACCAATGGCCTTCCTGTAGCTAAGTCAGAAGTTTGAGACTTTTTTTGAAGTCACCTGGCCAACTGAAAAAATGAGAGAGCCCAGAACTGGGAGGCAGGAGCCTTGGGTTCTGGAATAGGCTGGCCTCCCACTGGACCAGCTGGTTGGGCCTCTCAGAAGTGTCTGTCACCACTGAGCACTGCCTTCTGGGACATTCTCCTTGGTTCTCTGTCGTCATGCTCACCCGGTGTCCCCCAGTCCAGCCTCTCCCCAGACACTTCTACCTCACACCTACCTGTTCTTCAAAAGTCAGTGTTCTTCAGTCCTGGACTTACCTTTCTCATCTTCTGTGGTCTTCCCAGATGATTTCATTGCCTGTGGCTCCAAAATCCCTCTTTCTAGCCCAGATCTCTCCAGACCCTCACACCTGGATGTTCTTCCCCATCTCCCACCTCACACTCAACTTTTTGATGGACCCACCCCTTCTCTAGTGTTGTCCCCGTCATGGGGGGGCCTTCCATGCACCCAGGCTGTTTCCTACCTCCTGACTCTGTGGAGCTTCTTTACTCCTGCCTTCTCTCTGGCTCCCACACTGGTCCCCAACCTTGGCAGCCCCATCAAGCCTCCCCTAGAGCTCCTCCAGCTCTCCGGGCTTAGAGGTCCTCCGCTCTCCAGAGCTTAGGTTCCAGCACCTTCCAGCCCAGGCTCCCACCATTGTTCTCTGTTTGGGTCTCTAGGTGTTTGTGCAGTGGGGTTTTTGGACAATAACTGTAGGGGAAGAGGGCGAATCCCCCTCTGCCCTTTCCCTTAGGGTTCTTATGGCTGGCCAAGTAATTAACAAGACAGGTTAGCAGGAGAAAATAATACCAAGTTTAATAACATGTATACATGGGAGAAACCAGGGACACTGAGTTTCTGAACACAATGGCAGAGATTCTCATCTTAAATAGCATCTTCGGCTAAAGACAAAGGAGGATGTTGGGGGTGGGTGGTGTTTTGGGGTTTCAGAGGGGAAGAAGACGATTTACATGAAGAAGGAAATGTAAATGTTTGTCAGACAATGCTTTGCAGGGCCACCTATAGAGAATGTGGCCGGAGAGACAGGAATTATAGTAATCAAGAATATGTGCATTTAAGTCTTCTTCTTCTGTCCTGATGAGAGTTTTCACGATAAGGTCATCCCCCCCCCTTCCCACTACACAGAGGGAGACACCTTTACAAATGTAAATATTTGGTAAACAGAACTTTGTTAAGAATGGGCTTATCGAGGACCCTGGCAGTCTGTCCATACCCAGAGTTAAATTCCTTTAGGCAGTTAGTGGGGGAGGTCAAATGTCCATCAGAGAAAATAATCAAGGTAAAGAGACATATTTCAGGGTGGTCAAATCTTGATCTCCCACATAACTATTACTCTAGCGTTTTGCTGAGGGAAAAAGAAGCACTTAAGAAAATATCTTTTGGGTGCTGAAAGGTTTTTCTTTTTTTTTAATTAAACTTTTTTTTTTTCCCTTTTTCTCCCCGAAGCCCCAGTAGATAGTTGTATGTCATAGTTGCACATCCTTCTAGTTGCTGTATGTGGGACGCAGCCTCAGCATGGCCAGAGAAGCTGTGCGTCGGTGCACACCCGGGATCCGAACCCAGGCCGCCAGTAGCAGAGCACGTGCACTTAACCGCTAAGCCACGGGGCCAGCCCCATGAAAGGTTTTTCTAATGCTTCAGACTATCTCATCTGGACCCTCAACAATGAGGCCAGTCATATGGGGCTGCTCAAGCCTGGAGTTAGACACTACTTGGATTTAAAGACCAGCTCTGCCAGTTGTCAACTGTGTGACCTTAGACACGTTACTTAAGCTCTGTGCTTCAGTGTCCTCATCTGTAAAATGGGGATAATGATGGCACCTACCTCCTTGAGGGGATTCAGTGAGGTGATGCATGGCAAGTGCTTGGCGTATACCAGGTGCTTTAGAAATGTTATAGATGGCTATGGCCGAGAAAACCGCCACTCTCAGAAGGGAGGGGAAATTTTCCCATTCTAATCTGCAGCACTGCAGCCATCTAGTATAAATCATAGGTAAATGCTACCCTTCATTTCTCGATGGAGGGCTGGATCTGGGTGTAACTGGGAGAACGTGACTCTGGTGCCTCCCCAGACCCAGGCCTGTGTCCTCTGAGTCAGCTCCCGGGTGGTCAAGTCCTGGCCCAGGGCACCAAAGACAGCCTGATGCATGCCCTCCACCTTTCGCTAACTTAGGGTGGGTTACTCCCCCTCTCTGGGCCTCAGCTTCCTCCTCTATAGAATGAAGTGTTTGAACTGAACGATGGGGGAGGTCTCTTCCTCCATCTCTAGCAGTCTGAATCTTCCTCAAATCCCTGATAAAATCTAAGTGACATTAGATGATGTAAAGATGCTTAACTAGAGTCTAAGATTCAGAGGACTCTGAACCCCCCGAAACTGTATGCAAGATCGTGTGTGTGTGTAATGTGTGTGTACACATGTGTGAATACTTACAGCCAAGCGTTTTTCTGGGAATAGCCATCTTTAGCTTTGTAAAGAAGGTCTGTGATCCCAAAAGATTAGTCACCAGCCTGGTTCAAGCCTTATCACCTTTGACCTGGACTACAGCAACAGCCTCCAAACTGGTCTCCCAGCTCTTTTCCCTTTCTCTATAATTTATCCTCCACCCCCCACACAGGGTATCCTTCTAAAGTGCAATGCTGACTCTGTCATTCCCCTGCTTAACTCCGCCCATTGGGTCTAGTTGCCTCAATTCCTTGCATGGCTTTAAAGTCCATCACAATCTTACTCAGCCTTCTCCTCATACTCATATCCTGCCACACCCTAATCCATTTTTTCTGTCCTCACTCCTTCATGTACCCTCTGCCCTGGCCACACGGAACATTTCACTGCTTCGTGAATGCTTTGGGCACTTTGATATCTCTCTTCCTCTGCAAGGGCTCCCCTGTACTCCATCTGGCAAACCCCCATATGGGCTTCAAAACACAACTCAGGGGTCACCTCCTTTGTAATGTCTTCCTGATACTCCCGCCCATCCCCCAAATTAGGCACACCCTTCTGTGCTCCCACTTCTTGATCACATTTATCCCACTATATTGTAATTGTGTGTTTAAGGGTCTGTCAAGTAGATTCGAAGCTCTCCCAGGAGAGAAAACAAGTTTCTAATTCACCATTTAATCCCCAGTACCCAGCACACGGCCTGGCACCATTGTTGTGCCGGTAAAAACTATTTAAAATGAGCTGGAAAATTAATGAAGGAGTAAATAATGAGCGAACAAGCTAAGAAAAATAGAGACACCTGAATACGTGCGCGTCGGCTTCAGCCCCGCCCCCGCCCCACCGGAACTACATTTCCCAGAAGGCCCCTCGTGCTGAGCATGCGCACCGGGTAGCAGGGAAGCTGCGACGCCGAGTTTCACTCAGGCTGCCTACCCTTTAGAGTCGCAGACGCAGTCGGAGCCGATACCAGGCCGCGCCGGAGCTGCAGCCCGAGCGCAGCGGTTTCCTCAGCCTCGGTGAGAGGGGCGAGCAGGCCACCTGCTCGTCGCCGGAGCTGGGGTCCCGAGGGCTCGGGGGAGACCAAGCCGCGCTGGGACCGGAAGGGGGCGAGCGTGGGAGTGAGAGAGGGCTGGGCCGGGCCGGACCGGAGAGGAGCGCCGGGGTGAGGTCCGGGGGGATTGGGAGGACTGGCCTCCGGGCTGGAGGTCCCGAGGCGGGAGTTGGGGGAATTGGGAGGCGCTGGGAGCTTAGGACAGGACCGGGTGCTCGGTGGGAGGGTGAACGCCGGGGTGGAAGCAGAGGGGCTAGCGGGGGGAGGGAGGGGCGCAGACCCTGGGAGTTTGAGTCCGTCGGGACGTGTGCACCCCTTCCCACAGGACCCGGAGGAGGCGGGGGTGATGTTGCCACCGGGCTGCCCGGTTAGGGAACGGGTTCTGCTAGGGTCTGCCCTCGGGTGGACGACTCACTGGAGCCGGAGGCTGTACTCTGGAGGAGTTTGTTTCCTAACTGCTTCTCTCGTCTCAAGTAGGCTCCGCCTTCCAGGAAGCTCCTGTTTCCTGGGACCCTGGGTCATATTTGAGGGGTGCATAATGTATGCTGAAGAGGATTTAGAAGAGTATTTTTCTGGAGCTACCCTTTTATCCCGCCTTTCTCAGCCAGCTACTGCCCTCCACACTGGTTCCACTTCCCTAAGTGACAGTAGGAGTGGAAACTGCACAGACGCTTGGACCCTTGAGGAACTCAGTATTTCTGCATGCCGTCCCAGCTACTCTAGAGTTCTATAAGGTGGACTTTCTGATAGCCAAAATCAGGCTTTACTTAAACCAGCAGGGTAACTATAACTAAGCCTCTTGTTGATTGGCTGTGTGACCTTGGCCAGACTTTTACTCTCTGGTATGTTAATTTCCTGGATACTTACACTGCAGACTGGCTTATGAAGTCCTTTTAGGCCTTTCTATGAAAGGGCTGAGGTTTTTTTTTTAACCAACTCTCTTGATTATTGTAGTGGGCAGAGGGAGACTATTGTACCTTCTGCTCTGCCCAGGCTGTTGGAAAACAGATCTGGTGGTTTCCAGTCCCCAGCCGCAGCACACGGACCCAACATCTGTGCATTTGTTTTCACTAGCTGCTGTTTCTCAATTTAAAACCTGATCATCTTCTTTCTGGTTGGCAAAGGTGCCTTGGAATTTGTGTCGCTGAGTCAGCAAGACCTTCAGATTTGCCCGGTTTTTGTTGTTTGCATTTTATATCGAGATGGGAACTCAAACAAGTCATTCCTCCTAAGGATCTGGTGTCTCCATCGAGAAGGGACAGTTTGTGCCAGCTCTCCAGAGAGAAAAGGTGAGAGCCGCGGGGACTTGACATTGCTGCCTCTCAGTAGAGAAGGTGGGGACTGAGGAGGGGGAATGTGAGGTCTCCAGAGTGAAAGTGAGCCCTGGGAATTGGTTGTTGATTGCCAGCTGTCTCAAATAAATTCAAGTGGCTTCTTGCCAATGGCTTCTCCTGTCTAACCAGTCTTAGAGGATGCTTTCCACGTGGTTTCCACTTTAAGACATGCTTTTTGGGGTAAAGGACACAGGTCATGGTTTCTGTATTTGAACTAGAAAGTTTTATTTCTTTTGTTGCATGGAAAAACGGAGTGCCGCTCCTGTGTCAAGAGCCATATCCAGTGCTGGGGATGCGGTGATGAGCAACAAGAGCTCTGTCTTCTGGGAGCTCATGGTTTGGTGGGAAGACAGACCAACCATAGGTAGCAACAAGGTGTCGTCAGTGGGATATGTGTTCAGGAGAGGGGGACTCCCAGGGCAGAGCCCCCACTCCTCCATGTAGGGGTAGGAGGAAAGGGGGGAGGGTCAGGAAGGCTTCTGGAAGATGTTAACTAAGGTGAGTTGTGAAGAAAGAGTAGGATCCACAAAGTAGGGGGAGTAGCCCGGCAGAGGAATTGGCGTATGCGAGATTGTGAAGCTCCGTGGCATGTCTGGGCCACTGTAAGTGTCTCATGTGGCTGGAGCATCAGGGTTGGGTGTGGGGTAGAGGAGGCTGGAAGGGTAGGCAGAGGGCTGAGTGTGGAGGGTTTGGTGGCCCATGCCAAGGCTAGGGGCCAGAAGGATTTACCAGAAGAATTCCATGAGGGGCACTTTAAATGAGCCCACTGGCTGGAAGGTGGAATGTATTAGATTGGATTATTCTCTTTGCGACTGTTCCTTACATCATGCCAGCTTCTGATGGGGGAGGTAGACCTGAGATTTTGCTCTGAGGTTGTTCATAGTCTCATTGAAGAGGTAGAATGGATATAGAGAACTGTAAAGGACAGACAGACTGCCGTTGAAGTTGGTAAAAGGGTGTTTTCTTTCAGGTGGGCATGTCAAGGCGTCATGGAGACACTGTTTAAATTGGGCCTTGGAAGTATGGGTCAGGTAAGGATGGGTGGGGCACGTAGAGCCAAGGCATGGAGGTGGGAAAACCAGATGTGTGTGAGGGTGGCAGGTCATCACCTCAGCTCTTTGGGAGGGGTTGGGAGGGGGGAGAGGGAGATGAAAGAGAGTACTGAAGGGAAGTGCGCTGGCAAATACTGTCGATAGGGAGGGATTGTGATGGGCTTTCAGTGTCAACGAACTTGAACTTTATTGATGGGTGGAGATGTGGAAGAGACAGGATCAGAACTATACTTCAGGAAGCTCAATCTTGCACCTGTCTCTGAGGTGGACTAGGAGAGACAAGAATTGGAGAAGCCAGTGGGAGCGAGGACTTAATCAAAGTGAGAGGCGTAAAGGTCCCAACCAGATGCTGGCAGTGGGGCTGAGGAAGTGAGTGCAGAGAGCAGAGAGGAGCCATGGCAGCTGCTGGGCTCTGGGGGTGAAGGCGGAGGAGGAGCGAGAATCGCAGGTTTTTTCCCTAACTGCTTGGGGCAGAGTGGAGCCAGGCAATCGAGGAGGGAAAGGAGAATTAGGAAGGAGGGTGAGTTTGGCTTCAGACATGTCGAAGGTCCTTAGGGCCCCAAAAGGAATGGGGTCGTGGACTAGGGAGAAAAGTCCCTCATTCATCCCACACATGCCTACAGAAACCGTGCCAGGGCTGGTGCTTTGCCCTTGGGGTACAGAGATGAATGAAATGGTCTCTCTGTGTTTGTTTTCATTTTTACCTCAGGTAAACAGACAACTAGATTAATACACACTCATCAGTGGTCATTCGTGGCTTGCTTTTATTTATTTACTAAGTTATTTTTAGTGAATGTAGTAAACTCCTGCATTCCATCCACCAAAAACAAAAGCTAGGGTCTTGAAACAAAATTTACATCTGTCATTTGATCTTTCCCCTGTTCCCATCCTGAGATGACCATTGTCCCTTTGCTTTCATTTTTATATAGTTTTATTGTACCTGTATGTTCTAAGAAAAGTAAAAAAAATATGACTAAAATTTATCCATATTATTGCATGGTGTCTGGTTCGTTTGTTTTGACTACCGAGGAATATTCTGTAGTGTGGACACACTACAGTTGATGCATCTGATCTTGCATTGAGGGGCACTTGGTTGTTTCCAGGTTGTTGCTGTTGCAGGCATGCTGCTCTGAACATTTCCACACGCGTCTCCTATTGTACATGTGCGAGAGGTTTTCTTGGGTGTGAACTTTGGGGTGGTATTTTGCTGGGTCATAGGGTAAGTAAATGTTCAACTTTTGTCAACATTGCCAGACTGTTTTCTGAAGTAGTTGTACCAATTTACGCTGCACCACCAGCAGAGTTGGAGACTTCCAGTTGCTCCGCATTCTTGCCAACACTTGCTGTACACAGGCTTTTTAAATTTTTGCCCATTGAGTGGGTATAGAATGGGTTCTTTGGGATCTTGATTTCTATGTCCCTGAGCCCTGACGTTGAACATCTCTTCATAAGTTTATTGGCATATGTGTTTCCTGTGAAATATTTGTTTATGTCTCGCCAGATTTTCTGTGGGGTTCCTGGTGCTTTTTAAAAAAAATTGGCTTGGGGGCTGGCCCCGTGGCGCAACTGGTTAAGTGCGCGCGCTCCCCGCTGTGGTGGCCCGGGGTTCGCTGGTTCGGATCCTGGGCGCGCACCGATGCACTGCTTGTTAAGCCATGCTGTGGCGGCGTCCCATATAAAGTAGAGGAAGATGCACACAGATGTTAGCCCAGGGCCAGTCTTCCTCAGCAAAAAAGAGGAGGATTGGCGTCGGATGTTAGCTCAGGACTGGTCTTCCTCACACACACACACAAAAAATTGGTTTGTAGGAGTTCTTTATATATTCTTGAATTTAATCCGTTATGTTTATTGCAAGTATCTTCTTCCAGCTTGTAACTTATCTTTGTACTTTCTTTAAGGCATGTTTTTTTGAACCACCATTCTTAAGTCTAACATAATGAAATGTATTTTTTCATTTATGGTCAGTGTTCTGTGTCTTGTTTAAAAAATCTTTTCCTGACCATAATGCTTGCCTTTCAGGAACCTATGCCCTAATGGAGGGGAGGGTAGATCATTGCACTCAGATGTCACATGAACATTGATTCTTACAAGTGCCACTTCTCCCTGCAGGGCAGGGCAGGAGTGGGTGTAGGAAACATTTCACAGGGCAGAGAGTCTCAAGCTGGGAATTAAGAGATAAGTAGACAGGTGCGGTGAACACTCTCAGTGAGGGCTGAGGGGCGTGAAACAGCCTGGCCGTTTCGGGGCCCTCCACGGATTTGCTGATGGCTGGAGCAGAGAGCTTGAGGGATTCAGGCAGGGCATCTGAAGAAAGGTTTGGGTGATCTGCATGCATGGGATTATCAAAGCCATAGAAACAGATAAGAGAGTCCAAGGGAAGTGTAGAGAGGTAGGCCAGGGTCTGATTTCTCTATGCAGGGAAAGGTGTCAGTGCCTGGTCTGGCTCTGGGAACCAGTTGGGATTCCTGGGGGCAGCCCTGACAACATGCTATATTTCATCCTCAGGTGTTGAGCAAAGGCTGACATGTCTGCAGAGGGCAGGGCATGTTGTTGGGGAGGCTAGCCAGAGGCATAAGCACTCTCCCACTTGGTGATAGAGAAATGGGTTCAGAGAAATATTTCTCAATGATAGGGCAGTGGGTGCACCGTGGTACATGTGGGGAGGTGGCAGGGCACTGTTGGCAAACTGTGGGCAGTGAGCCAAATCTAGCCCACAGCCTGTTTTTGTTAATAAAATTTTATTGGAACACAACTACTCTGGTTAGTTTACACATTGTCTGTGGCTGTTTTCATGCTATAATGGCAGAGTTGTGTAGTTGAAACATACATCCTATGTCCTGCAACGCTTAAAATAAAGTCATGTGCCACATAACGACGTTTCGGTGAACGACAGACTGCATATAAGACTGGGTTCCATAAGATTATAATAGAGGATAGGTGTGTAGTAGGCTATACCATCTAGGTTTGTGTAAGGACGCTCGGTGATGTTTGCACAACCACAGAATTGCCTAATGGTGCACGCATTTCTCAGAACATATCCCCGTCGTAAGTGACTATGTGTACCTTCTGGCCCTTTACAGGAAGAGTTTGCTGACCTCTGCCATGAGGAGTCGTGGTAACTGTGGTAACCTGGAGAGGATGCACCCATCACCATGGTGGTTCAGCTAGTTGTTGCTGGCTGGATAATGAATCTAGGTCAGGCCTGCAAATGTTGAAAACTTCTGGTTTTCAAGGGAAGCTGTAGATCTGGACTTTTTTTTTTAATGGTGAATATTCCTTTTTTTTTTTTTTTTTTTTGCTGAGGAAGACCGGCTCTGAGCTAACATC